TAATAATTGTCACGAAATTGATATCCAAAATTATTATCCCCTGAGTAGTATTATGGTGTTCTCCTGTGTTTACATGCAGAGCCTTGACGTTGCTGGACGAGCGACAATATAAATTACATAAACATGTAGCTCGTGATGTGGGATGACTGCCGTATCGCATTGCCAACGCAAACCCATCCTGTGTCAGTGCAGCCATCCAGCAACTTGAACTCCCCGGACCAGATGCCGCTGCAGCTGAACACCATGCCGATGGAAAGCCAGGAGTTGATAGCGAAGCATTCTGGTCTGCACAGTACAAGGCAAAGAACAATTATGAATTATAATGCATTGTAATCCTTCCCACACTTCTTTGTAAAAAACAAACAAACAGTGCCATTATCACAACACTTGATCAAGCATCTTGATGGAGGTATTTTCCATTGTGCTGGCTCAGCATCTGCACCAGGAAGACCATGTACACTTACACGTATCTTGTGTGTGTGTGTTCGTGCGTGTGTGTTTGTGTATCTGTATGTGCACCTATCGATTGGAAATCGCTGCACATACCACTGCACCATATGGGACACGGGTTCGATTCCCGACGATTATGGTCACACACGTCTTTCTTCTCTTTCTCAGACTCTTCCTGACTTTTCTTTCATTCTCCTGGGTGGTTACCAACAGCCAGTGCATGCCGGAGTATGTGGTGTGATGTGTGTGCGGGAAAAAAGAAAAAAATGAAAATGAAAAGACCAAAAATAGGGATTCACTGGCCAGAAAAACCACTTCAAATAGCTGTATGGTGTAGACCAGGCTGAATAGTGACGGTCAATTCTTCAGCCTTGCAAGCTGTTGAATGGTGCAAGCTGTTGAATGGTGCAATCCCGGCACAAGTTGCTGTGGCTTCTGCCGTAGCATTGCTATCATCGCCTCCGGCGATGGGCGTCAAAGGTCAAAGGTATGTGCACACGTGTGTGTGTGGGGGGGGGGGGGACGCACATGTGTATGGGTAGGAATGTGTGTGTGTGGGGGGGGGGGGGGGGGTACACGCACATGTGTATGGATGTGCGCGCTGCATGCGTGTGTCTGTGGGATGGGGTGGGGCTGCACGCACATGTGTACATGTGTGTGCGCAATACAGCATGTGTGTATGTGTTCGTTGAACACAGGGTGTACTCCTGATTACATAAACTTCGTGATCATTGTGATTTCATGTGCTTTGAAGTTGAAATTCGCAATACATGTACTGATGCTTGATTAGATTTATGTTCCACATGTTCTATTTATTTTATTTTACTTCAAGCACTTGTACTATTCAAGCACAACCCTACCGATGAAGGGAAAGAAGCAGCGGAGATACACCTACTGAGTCTAATGACTGCCACTGTCAGTTCTCAAACAAAAACAATTTTTGTCGAATTGAAAAATCTCACCTGTTAGTGTTGCTCACTAGCCACTAGTGACTAGAGTTGTTCGTCCACGAAATTTGCAATATGCCACTACGGTACCAGCAAGAGTAGGTAAGTTGGCATAGAACAACAGCTATGCAAAGCCATGTTCATCTCCTCTTCACTTTGGAAGGCAGTACAAGCACCCTTCATACCTCGATATTGCCTTGGAGTGGAAGCAAATTCACCATGAGTTTTCCAATTCGCTACGATCGATCTCGGGGTGATGATCGTGTCTTCTTCATCACCACTGCAGCCTGGACAGCCTTCGGGAAGACATGTGTCACTCTCCTGCTCAACAGATTCCTACATCTAGATTTGGTTACCGTCAGGGAACGAAACAGAGCTGCAAAACACCAAAGTAATTGTTTTCTTCCATTCAATTACACCGCTGAACATGCACAGCATGGTGACAGCTAAGCAGTACGCACGTCATCAAGGCCAATTTCCAAATATGGGAGGTGTTATTTATGAAATTTGACACAGTTCCTCTTCTCTGATCGGCTCGAGACATAGCTCATCGGAATCAGTGCCCAATTCTCCTTCGGATAAGCCATACTTATTTTTGGCGTTCAGTTTCCCTTTAAATAGAAGGTACGCCGAGCATGGTATGGCAGAAGATGGCGGGATAAGCGGTACGCACCAAGTTTCCTGTTGACAGAGCCGACAAGGTTGTCTATTTGTGGGCCAAAAGTCAAGTTTTCGTCAAGTACAATAATACCCAAGTAGCGAGCAGACTGCGTGCGGGGAACATGGACACACGCAGTTTCTGTTATCCTCCCCTGACTCCTGAGTCTCCCCTCTCTCGAGTGACCTGAGTGACTGAGTCCGACTCAGTTAGAGATTCATAGTCATACATACCCTTACATGCACCACTACAGTAGCACATTTATCAGATTCTCCTTTCTTCCTGTTGTTTAATTAATTACTGGTCGGCGTGTATTTACCGCCATATTGCCAGGTGCGTGTTTACCACCATACTTATCATATGAATAAAGTTTCAGGAAGGCTATTGTTCGAGTAGCACTACATAGTACATTGTACGTGCGTGAGCGTTACTAGTCACTTATACTACTCCTCCGCACTCAAGAAGGGGACGGATCCAAAGTGGGCTTGAGCATTGAGGATTGTTCCACAACCCGGAAAACACTGTGACGTCCACTCCATCCACACTGGACCACAGTGCGTGGGAGTGAACGGACATGCATGTCGTACGTGTACATGTACATGTATCCGGGACGTTGACCGACAAAGACTAGTACCGGTAGTCAAAAGATGAAGCTTCGAAGAAAAATGCTGCCCTCACAGGTCCTGCTCGTGTTTTATCTGTAAAACGTGGGCGGCCACGTCAATGGCGGGTTGGGATTGTGAGCCAGGATATTTACGGCTACACACAGAAAGAAAGTCTACATCATGCATACCTGCTCTAGTAATGGTTCATGAATCCGCCCAGTCCACATTCCTTCTCCGTTTCTCTCCGTTTTTCTTTCCTTTCAGTTGCATCTTCCTCTCTGCTCTGTTTTATTTTCTCTTTTCGTTCGTCCCTCTTGATATTTGTACTTTGTACTGTTGAGGCAACGAACTGAAATAATAAAAACCAAAACCAAACCAAACCAAAACCTGTAACTGTCTACTTGAACCAAGAATATCCAATGCTGTAGTCAAGAATACGTGTACATAAGTACATGTAAGCTTCCAGGAAGCTCCTGATTTTCCATGGTTATTTTATTTACATGTATAACCAGTTACCTGATCAGAATCTCCCTCAGGGAAAATAACCAACAACTCTGCAGGTACATGTATCCGAGTGCCAGTACAGGCAGTAGTGCAGCATAAATAGAAAAATAAGCCCCATATACAACTCTATCACCTTTTCGCTCTTTGATGTAATAGTTACTAGTACAGTGGTCCCTCTATAATCCGGCACCATTTGTGCCACGAAAATCTGCTGGATTAGGGAGGGTGCTGGATTAACAAATCTGATCTACTGCTGCAATGTGCATGAAGAGGACATTTGGCTACTGAAAATTGTGCCGGTTTATCGAGGGTGCTGGATTATAAAGTGCCGGATTAGAGAGGGACGACTGTACTTGTTCCAGTACTCGTCCTATGAACCGAGCACACCTAAACAGAGATCTAGATACAGTACTAGTAGAGCTTTACACCCTGTACTTACAAGTACAGTACAAGAAGTTGGTACAGTGTACATGTACATGTACAGGTTTTGTAGCCAATTATGGAATGTACTGCATTGCTTGTACATGTATGTCACGATCAAAATTGTATTTGCATGACTCTTACCCTTACCCGGCGAGGGCCACGAGCCGGCACAAGGCCCTTTCTTATAACCTACAACTTACAAGTACATGTACTTGTAAATCCTGCTATTGAGTATGCATTACATTTACAGAATTGTGTTCTAATTGGCCATTAGAACCCCCTCCCACCATGAAGTAGTACGAGTTGTGTCTATCCGTTTTCATTACTCCGCTTTTTAATTTCCTTGGCAGTCTGAACGTTACTTATCTGGGGTTACAATAGTCACTTGTTGCTCTAGCGTCTACTGATGCACATGTAGATCTACATACCGGTATATGTGTTATCAGGTGTTTTATCATCTGTTGTCGGTTGATAGCTAGAAGTCTGATGACTGGAAGAAAATGCTGAATGCTCGCTGCTGGGCTGACAACTACATGTATACCCTAGTGGTAGAGCATCGCTAGCGACGGTCTCTGGTTCCAGTCCTGCATGGACCCGGCCTGGTGGTGATGGCATGGCAGTCAATTTTTTCTTCAGACTTTTCTCGTCAAGTTCAACTCTCTCAAACTTGTGTGTACGTGTGTGCGATAGTTTTTATTATCTGTTTCTACTTGGATTGCGTATTTGCGGGTATTGACATGACAGTGTGATTATTTCGAAGTCAAGTGAAGATTGACATTTTATTAGTTCGCAATTTTGAGTCACCTTTGCAAGAGCAGGGTCATAATCATTATGGACATGTCCCCCCCCCCCCCCCCCCCCGTATGACGTTGAATATCTTCCTCTTTGTTTGGGGCCAGATGCACAAACACGCATACACCTGTGCCTACTCCACACTGCCATTGTGGACGCGCGTGTGTTGAGTCGTAACGACGTGCAACAGGTGTGCAGAGCACATCTCCAAAGAAGATGCCCTGGTCCGATTGCATGCATGCACACACACACACACACACACACACACACACACACACACACACACACACACACACATGCATACATACACTCTTACTCACACACATGCACACATACACACACACACACCTTTGGACCTTTGGAAAGCCCATCGCCAAAGGCGATGATAGCTATTAGGCGACACACACACACACACACACACACACACACATGCATGCATACATACACTCTTACTCACACACATGCACACACACACACACCTCAGACCTCAGACACACATACACATGCATACATACACTCTTACCAAGAGTACATAACCCCCGGGGTTATGTACTCTTGCTCTTACTCACACACATGCACACATACACACACGGCTACAAATACCAGCGGGTGACCCCGAAGTTCATTCGTACCAATCATTCATTGTCCATATCATATGCAGAGAAAGCTGCTCCAGAGAACTAAAGTACGGTACATGCACAGGACACACACACAGGCACCTGACACTACTCTACATGACTAGACCTAAGCATTAATATGGAGTCTTGCTAAACCAAACCAAGACTAGGGCTGAGCGGCTAATTTGACTAGCACCATTGTAAATCCAGGGAGGTAAGAAACGTGGAATCGTTGCTCGAAGCAGATAACAACGGATAGACTATCATGAGTGATCGTAAGAATTTTTCGGGAACTCGATAAATCTTGAGAACCCGCCATCAAGGGTCTAATAATATGAGCATATGACATAGTTAGGATGGGTAATGGCCAATGGCGTCCTAGTAAATCGTGAAAACATAAGAAATTTAGCTTGGGCTCAGATCAGAACACAGTGGGTGGTTGTAAACACTAATTAAAAAAAAACCTGGATGTGAATGGGTAAGAGTTTGGGATAAGGATCAGACATTGCTGGAGAGGATGGTGCGGCATCGTGGCGCAGCAGATGTAGGGCGAGAGAAGGAATACTGCTACTACCAGTACTCAACACTGTAACGTTACTCGGTGCTCGGTCGCACACACACACACACACACAATAACTAAGCCGGGAATGCAAGTGACGGCGGACTGTGGCACTGCACGTGTCCAGTTGATATAGCGACGAGATCAGCTCCACAGGTACGGCAGGATAAGACAGATCAGGAGGATTTGAGGCACACATGTCAGACAGGTCACTTTGACACACACACGCACACAAATAATAATATAGTAGAAGAATTCAAGCTGTATAATAAATACTTTGAAGAAAGCATACAACGCCAACACACTGCTGTGGGCATTGATCTGTCCCAATTCAACGAAGCGAACAAGCTGAAAATAGAGTCCGTATTAATAAGCTCTGAACACGGCCGGAAGGGCACAAGACATTGGGCCTACTTACACGGGAACAATTGCAAAATTCTTGCCATCGTTCGAGTCCCAGTACTCTCCCAACGGCGTTTTAAAACAGACAGCAAACTCCAGGCGCGGCGGCACCTTGCCAGAGGCGGACGTGGACGGCGAGGGCAAGACGTAAGTGAACGAGAATCGATCGGAGGAGCCATCTTGGGACGTGGATCCAGTCACGTACGATGCAGTAAGATTGCATGATGTAGCCCAGTTGTCAATAGTGTAGCGAAGCGACACTTCTTTTTCAAAGCTGATGTTCGACACGACGATCGAACCGAAGACGCTGAAATCTTGCAAGCTGACGTATTCCAGGCAGACTTGTTGACGAGCCAGGCGATCACGCAACGCCGATGCGGGAAGTGCACCGCCTTCCAGTCGAAGATTCGCCGTCGACGCTGTCAGCGGACTTGTGTCCGTATGAGCTGCCGCTTCAGCATCAGATTTGTCTGCCTTGCCGTGTGATAGCTTACTCATCCTACCTGCCTTGCCGGCACGGCGCAGTTTCATTGTTGACGGCAGATCCCAGCTATTGGCTCGGCCACACGGATTGCAAGAACTTCTGGCTGAGCTCAGGGAAAGCTCCAAGTTGTCCTCCCATGACCATGCATCTTCCATAGCACTCCTGGTGCTGGACCACGATTTACCGCCAGCACCTCCAAGTTTCCCTTCCAGCATGCCATCACGAAACTCCTCGACACTCTCAAACTGACGATAGTGCAGCACGGAAACGAGCGGCAATCCGTATGAATCGGCGAAGCGCAGCGATTTCTTCCCTGGCGAACAGGACCGGAGGGCAGAGCGTACCTGCTCCAAATGACGGAGTGAGTTGAGAGGCCACGACTTGGCATGAAGGCCCAAACCTCTCCTTGACTCGTCCCAAGAAGACGTATCGTCTACGCCTGAATCGCAATCGGAGGTCTCTGCCACAGTCGAAGTACAACCTACCAGTGACGAATGTTCATGCCTCAAATCGGACATCGAGTCTGACGGCGTTTCATCGCATGAACCTCTGATGGTTGGAGACATTTTTGAATATCCGAAAGCTTCGAGACAAACTAATAACTATTTATGTCGGACAAGGACAAGCCAAAGCCCAAACAGCTCCTGACCCAGCAGCCTCAGAATAAGCACAGAGGCTATACTGGACTAATGCTAATATTGTCGCGAGACCAGCCGTTTCCATTGTGAAGGATAAAACAAGCGACGAATCGTTTTGACTTTCTCGATGTTGTTCTTTTCATCAGTCATCACAAGCATTCACAACCCTCATGCACACACACGTACACAACTTTGCAACACGCATTCATCATCCGTCCTTCTCGCTTCCTTGATTTTCGTGACCAGCACGACTGTCACCCCTTGTCCGCGTGCCCGATTGCTATGGGGAAGGTCAAACCCGCGGCCCGTCACGCGTGTTTTTGATTCACAACGGAAATCTTCACGAGCTTCGGGCATGTTCCAGCAGTCGTTCGATCGCGTGCGCACGCGAGCGCTTGTGTACGTACGTACGTGTGCACGAGCATGTACGCAGCGCTCGTCATCGTCGATCGTAGCTGCTACAAAATCAAAGCCACCGCAGTTTTCTACTTTGGGCTTTTGTGACATTTGTCGCTGCTTTCAGCAGAAATGAAAAGCCCTTCTACTTGTACGAGTTGTCCTGGCCCACCACTGCACTAACGACTACGTAGTGTGTAACTACTTGCCCCGCACAGATCAGGGGCACTGACTGTAACTACACGCGTACCACAACAAATGTGGTGGTAGGGGGCGCTCGTGCCAAGACTTCGTTAGTTAGTTGTGCTCATACTAGTATACTGCTAGTGCTGGCCAGGGCCGTGGCCTACATGCCTATTGGCGATTGCATATTATTATTATTATTATTTATTAAATTTTTAATAGGGCATTCCCACAGGCCTAAGGCCTTCTTACGGGGTACCCTAATTGCTCTAGCTGGGGCATGGTCGATGACGGTTCGGCTTCTGTATTCAGCAAAAAGACAGCATCATGGCATGACCTGACCTAGCGCCTGCAGGAACACTAACACTAACAGTGCTAACACGTCGTTACAAAATACAATGATTGAACATGTCACCTACCTCCTGCGCGTGCGTGCAGCTGACTGGCATGCATCATTGCGTGGTAGAACAAGAACTGCATGCATGCAGTGCACATGGTGCAGAACGCCAGAAGAAGACTTAGAAAGCTTGCAAACCTGATGAGGGCTATATGCCGAAACGTTGTTTTAACTACGAAAATGTGTTCGAACGTTGCAGTGTAAATAGAAGGGAGCGAGTCCGCTCCATCTGTAATTCTAGAAAGCTTCTGAAGCACGAATGATCGACGTGCATGACCATGATGACTGCATGCCATGAGCATGAGCAAGGCCAATTAAGCTGCATGCTGCAAGGCAAGACTGGACATGACACTCCGCCATCGATCCATGCGCTAGCCTATCGATGATGTACATGACATGGCCGGCACGCATGGCACAGTGACAGAGGCGTGCGGTCATGTCACTTGCAGTCACCATGGTCACGGTACTTAGTACTAGTTCTTTCGGTTTCACTCTTCTTTCTTGACGCTGGACACTGTGGTTGACTGGAGTGTTGACACTGAGCAATGGCCGATACCCGCGCTCTCCTTCCCACCAACCCATGCTGCAAGGACCAGTGGGTTTGGTTTCTACATGATTGTATTTTAGAAGAATTGCGGATCAAAGCTGGACTGTGTACGTGTAGCGTTAGGTGTGAGCCGATCGAGGGCCTTGGTCAGTTGCCATTGTTGAGTTGGTGTTCAGTGAAGACTTGCTCGCACTGGACGTAATACTATCATTAGCAAGAGTACATATCCCCGATTATGTACTCTTGCTAGTAGTAGTAGTAGTAGTAGTAGTAGTAGTAGTAGTAGTAGTAGTAGTAGTAGTAGTAGTAGTACAGAATAATCTATTTCGTGGGTAGCGCTGGCCTGGGCATACATGTAGGTGCCAAATTGAAGCTGCAGAATGTTATGAATTATCAGCACTATGCTGTACAGTACACAAGCCTCTTCAAGCCTCGAGGCCTCTTGTACGGGCAAAGCAAATTTGCTTACATAATAATTATGACAGAAATGCTATGCTGTACATGTACATGTACATGTATGTAATACAGCTTTAGAACGTTATTGCAGACTGCCAGTCATGTACTTGGAACCGAGATCTAGAAAAATATTACCGCCGAAGTCGCAACACTACTACTAGTATACTGTTTATGTTACGACTTCGGCGGTAATGATTATAGAAGTCTGCAAATGACTACCTGTATCAGTGTACATGTACACATGTATGTCAGTCATAACAGTCGGCGTGCAGGAAGCGTAAACTCCTACGCAGCAACGTTACATGTAAGCCAGCCCCCTTCCTCTTACATGTACATTGTATTGAACCAATCGTGACTACGGTTGTTCCATAGACAAACATGTACATGTACATGTATAAACAGTTATGATAATGCTAAGCCGATGCTAGTAATGTGACTACGGGCAATGCAATCTCAGAAATCTGGTACGCTACTCCAGTGTTGGCATGATAAGCGCAACGCGAAAGCTGCACTAATGCCATGATGGCAGATTTATCGACTATCTGTCGTCATGGTCGTGGACAATAAGAATGATAATTACGTCGTTTCTATTCTCTTATCTGACCATGCACTTGATGACAGCCTTTGGCTCTGGCCATTTGACAGGGCAGCTGGAGACCTTAGGCTAGTGTGTCCAAGCACTGCGGCTATTCGACTCCGCTTGCACACTACTGCACATGTAGTCCATGGTAGTCTGTAGTCACCTCGTGCTCTGCTGACTGAGTGAAACCGGGATCTAACATACCGAACAATGACGTACGGCGCCGGACGTGCGTGACAAGAAGCAACAGCAGTGCCCATAAACCATGATAATCGCCATATCACCAGATCACACTGAACTACAATAACAAAGGATGGCACATCTGGACCAGACTGGTATACCTGTACAGTATCTACTACAAAATGTACAAGACAAAATTAATTCCAATGCCAGATGCATGCAGATGCACATCCCTATTTCGCTATGCATTACTTTCATTCTTAGGGTACCCCGTAAGAAGACCTGGAGTCTGTGGGACTACCCTATTAAAATATGAATACCGGTAAATAATAATGCACGCTGCAGCCTGACGAGCTAGAACCAGTAGAGGTTAGCACGGTACAGGAATCGTCTTTATGCTGCATAGTAACAGTCATTGGTTTGGGCATTCACTGACTGCCTGTAGTCAGTAGTTTCCCCAAAATTAAAGGCTCAACTCGGGAAGTCGTCATGATACCTGACGGCTCTCTAATCTGCTGCACACTTTGGTTTACTAGAAACTCGATCTTTATCACACTCAAAGTGAAGGGCAAGTTTTTCGCCACCCGCCGCAACTGACAACATCCAAGGGCACAACATTATTCTCAACATGGATTATTTCGAGGAGCTGACCGCCAAAAATACCACAAAATAATGAGCGAATGTGCATGCTTTAGATACATTGTACGACTGTCACTATGTTACATGACTGTATTAAATGCTTGTCCAAATCACCTGGAGTGGCACTGCACCCCAAGAGGCACAGGTAATTGGCATGAGACTGAAGCCCAGCACTCCCAAGCAGGATAATGTCAGTTTGTCACTGGATTCCTACTTCTACATGTACTTGGAAATGCAGGTCTAGAACAGAAACGGATTTGATTGCCCAAGGCTTCCTTCCAGAAAAGATATAATTGTTGCCACGAACCAAGGAAACAAGGAGTGGATAAAACACCTTACAAAAACGGGAAGGACAAGACACTGCAGCAGTTTGAATGGAGAGAGGGGGAGAAAGAGAGAGAGAGAGATGGAGAGAGAGAGATGGAGAGAGAGAGAGAGATGGAGAGAGAGAGAGAGATGGAGAGAGAGAGAGAGATGGAGAGAGAGAGAGAGAGAGAGAGAGAGAGGGGGAGAGAGAGAGAGAGAGAGAGAGAGAGAGAGAGAGAGAGAGAGATGGAGAGAGAGAGAGAGAGAGAGAGAGAGAGGAGGAGAGAGGGAGAGAGAAAGAGAGAAGCAAAGATGAGCAGCGAAGGAGGCGGTATACATTGATGTGGAACAACATTGGGCAGCAGTAGCCCAACGCTAAAGGAGACAAACTTGAATCAAAGTTTCGGGGGAAATGACCAAGTGAAGATACGGACCAGTGATGCAATCGGTCGTAAAACAAAAGAGGACAACACACAACGAACAAGTAGTTGAGAATAGTAAAACTTAATAGGAACAGCTACGAAATGTTGAAGCACCGGGAGGAAGGCGTTTTCGGGAAAAATTGAGGAATGAAAACAAACTGACTATCATGCTGAAAATTTTGTAGGTGCACGTGAGAAGCTCGCTCAGTGAGCGGCTCCCAAACTTGTACACATGTCTTGGAGTACCCCACGATTTAGGAGAATGTTCCAGCCTTTGCCATTCTAGAATAGCAAGCGGGCAAAGGTTCGGAAGCCAGTTCAAAAAATATACTTAAAACAAGTCATCAGCTCTCCAGTGCACGTGAATATGCTTGGTCCAAACGAGACTGATGCGAATGATTGTGTCAGAAGTCTTGCAGATCGGACACAGGCTGGGGTTGCTTGGACCACTTACCGCACTGCTGCCAGGCAGTACATCAGAACATTGTACACACAACCCAGTACCAGACAGACAAACACACAAAACACACACACGGTCAGGCTACTTAGGCCGCTACGGCACTTGTCAATGGCTCGCTGCAGTTGCTGCTTTGCCGTCACTGTTGCTGAACCTTACACCCGGTTCATCTGACGGAAAGAGTGCAATGGCGGCAACTAGGAACATAGCACCCGGCAACATCGTCGGTCAAACGGTGATATGAGATGTGGCTACGCGCCTGGGAAAACACGCCCAGTGGTGTTAGTGGCTACGGCGGCAACACATACATCAATATTTCTAGACCCAACATAGAGGGCCAGGTCTAGCCCATCGACGCCCGCAGCTGAACCGGGCGAGGGTAGCTCCAACGCGGCAAGCAGGCACCAACACAGCAAGACAGTATTGCCATCACTACTAGCAGTGGATTGCCACCGCCAGATTCTGCTGTTGCTACTGCCGCTGCGGTTGCATCAACGAATGCATTCCAGAATTAGGTAGTGCAGCAATGCGCCGTGGCAGGGCTAGTGGCCGGCACCTTTCCGTGGTCCCTGAAGCAGCACAGGCCAGGAACACACACACGCACACACACACATCAAGTTTCCCGGCAGCAGTTCATGAGTGAAAGCACATTATCTCAATACAGGTCGTCCCTCGTTAATACATAATATCTGGGACTTGACAAATGTTATGTATTAACGGGGTTTATGTACTAAACGAAAGTGTACATAACTTGCTTGTATACCAGAATTTTGCACTTTTTTCAACTTTTCTGAGTGTTTCTTGCTGCCATGACTAGGGAGCGAGATATTCTTGATTCCCTCGATATAACATAAAAATTATGTTATAACGGTCACAGTCAGCGAAGATTCTACAGTTTACATGATACATGCCCAGCCGTGCCTGTACAGTCACTCGAAAAAAACAGGGCTTTGTTGGTTTGTGATGTGCGCTCTGATTTCTGAGATAATTGCGTCCACAAGTAGAAACTAGAACACGACGTGCCTCCACTGGAAGGCCAAAAGACCAACAAATTATGTACTATTGAGGTAGGTGGCATGCGGGTACGGAGAAATGTTATGTACTAACGAATTATGTACTAACCGACAAAACTTGTATGGAAGTGACCACGTTTCGTCCGGGACTTGAGATTTCTTATGTACTAACGGGGTTTATGTACTAACCGGACTCGTATTAACGGGGGACGACCTGTATTACATAGCCCCCCCCCCCCCGATTGGCGACTTGCTAAGTTCATCACTCGAATCAATCCATTCAGCTAGTCCACAACAATGGCAGCCACAACATACGCGATCTTCAAGGCTCAGTCACAGCTCTGATGGCTAAACATTAGGAGGTACCGTGGATTGGCCTGTGCTGGTTTTTGGTGCGTTTTGGTTTTTACTTGCCCAATATCCCAGAAAGAAAGGATCTCATGATCAAACTTTCATACAGCCAGGCCGCACAAAGTATAAGCACTTGAAGTACACGCGTTGCTTGTTTTTCGAATCACGCAGTGTCACACCATACATGTACATACACGAAAGTCTCCCTCACCCATGCACTTCTCTCACCTGGGCAGTCTCCCTATTCCGCCAAGTGCGTGCATTTTTTTACAATTACAATTACTCTTCCCTCCTCTACTTCTTGCAATTACAATTACATGTAAACTCTGTAGTCTTTGTGCAGTGACGGCCACCATGATGTGCACCACAATGTGCCCTACGCACAGTGTTGTGAGCCACGAGCACAATTCCCTGCCAATGTACCCCGGGGGACAAGAGAGGGGTGAGCGTGTCCGTGAAAGAGAAAGCAAAATTGCCAGCCAACCGCTCAGAACCTACTCTAAACCAGACAGCAGGTGTTGGCTAGTGCGGCCATTTGCCCTGGACTTACAGAAGTGCCCCGGGAAGCTGCCTGCTTATTACCCTCCTCCTGGCGCTTTTCATAGTGGCCAAAGTCATCAAATATCGAAGTGGCGTGCCGGTAGGAATGGACGATCTTCATCACCTGGCGAGCCTTGTCAGGAGGGATCTAACGCCACACAAAGGCGGGCACAAGGCAAAAAACAACACTGGGTTTAGAAAATGGTAGCGATCATGATAGGAACAAGCACCTGCTGTAACCAAGTGCTAAATCTGTCGTTGAAATAGAAAACGTTGTACAGAAATTGATATCTTTGGTACACGCAAATGGGTCAATTTTATGAAATCGTTATATTTGCGGCTCGATAGAATAATGGCTATTACAGTGTACACAATGCACTGATAGCCAAGAGAAAAAAGTGCCAAATCTCCCGGCTTTGTCGATACTTTAGAAACATCTCCCCGTCTCCTGATCAGAATTAAACCTCCCTAATCAGCACGGAGTTTGCGGCACATATGCTAGCCATGCATGTACAGAGCACGGTGCACTTGTCAGTGCGACTGGCACTCTGGTCCCATGCACGGGACAACGTGCTCACACAGTATGCCCATTTTTACACCCACGTGCTCAGGGCAGTCCCACCTGGAGGCAGATCTCCCTACCACAGGCAAAAAAGCGGGCAGGTCTGAAGAGATACCGCCGCTATTCTCCATGGCACTAACAGAAGGAGAAATTGCCAAAATAAATAATCCCGTCGATTAACAATGTGTGCAGATGCAAGAGTCCAAGCCAGTGCAAGCTCGCCCTGCCTGTTTACCAGAAATGCAATCATTGCCTGCCAATGCACCAGTGACTGTCTTTCTCGTCTCGCCACGCAAATCGCTGCATTTTGCCCATGGGTGTGTGGCGCTGCCTCCTACGGCACATGATGCTGAGGAGTGCGCTCATCATTGTACCAAGAATGCTGGCACACATACTGGCAGAGAAATAAGGACGTCAGAAGACTCTACCTCCTTGCCACATTGCTCCTAGGAAAGAAGTTGTTTGTTCGGGTCTTGGTGTTGCACATTTTGTGTCCTTTTGTCTGCTTCTTTGTTCAGAATGATGCGAAGAGTAACCCAGGTTGTGTTTTTGGTCGACGAAATAATACCAAACACATGCATGCAAATACAATGCTCACACTCCCCACCGATTACACCACACACACGCGCGCGTGCACACACACACTAACCTCTTGTGTATCTCGGGAATTCGTCACCGGCTTATTTTCATTGTTCTCCAGGCGAATGTGCCTTAGCTGACCATTGGGGACGTCCTTAACGTAAATCCACTGCACTTCAAACTTGCCCTTCCATTTGTCCTGCGACCAAATTCCTAAAGACAAAGACAGAACACATAATCAAGTTTGTGTGGTTTGTCCAGAACACACATAATCGATGTCCACAATGTATCCTCTCTTCCACCAGAAACGTTTGGACAAAACACAAGGTAAGGCAGCACGATTCAAAGGAAAATGGGAGTCAGCTAGCGGAATACATACACTAGTAACTGCAAGCGCACAGCATACACGTACTAATGTATGTGTATGCTGCATGCAAGCGATCGCCCAGGATGCAAATTGCTGAACATTTTTTAAAACTTTATGTTCGAGCATGGGAGACAAGCTCAGTCGAAACATCTTGCTGAATCTGGGAAACACTGCCGAAACACACCTGCTAAATACTCCTATGAAAAACTCAGTTCTATAGGCCAGCGATGCTCTAACCACAAATCCATGATGTAGTCTCCATCCAAAAAAGATATAAAGGAAAATATCTGGTATAGATTTACCTGTTACAGCGGTGTAATCCACTTCAGAGCACATGCGCGCACATCCACAGAAGTGGCCGGAGCCATTGACGGAGAAGAAGAGATAGACCGGCTTGCCCTTCTGCTCCCTGTACGCTGTGTCTAGCCGCTTGTTTCCATGTTCCGTCGACGTCCAAACGGAGTATTTGATGGAGCGGTGGATATCGTCCTCACTGTAAGACTTGATCACGAAAAAGCGAGCATTCGACAGCTTGACGACGCTCGGATCTTTGGGATTGTACTCGTGAGCTGCCCGCAGCTTTTCCAAGCCCTCCTTGCCGCTCTCGACAAGGTCAATGCTGTCAAGTCCTACTGTGTCGGCGCTTGGCTTACCACGATGACGTGGTGCACGATTCGCTGGGTTTCCCGAGGCAGCAGCAGAACTACCCGCTGCAGGGGCGCTTGGTGATGATGGGTTGTTTGTGGGCCGCGGCCAGGCAGCGGACGGGCCGCCAAAGTGGTTACCTGACGGTGGAGCACTGCGCTGTGAACCTCCAGGTCCTGAAGACGCATGGGCCATGTGATGATGTTGCTGTTGCGGCGGCCCTTGCTGGCGCTGGTGCATTGAAGACGAGGATGGTGGCGGTGCGTGATGTGCTGCGTGGGTGGGAGTAGGTGATTGGCGCTTGGGAGCAGCACTCGCTACGGACGCCCACGACATAGGCTTCGCAGGTCCAGAGCTTGATGCCGGTGGTGGCTTTGTGGACTGTGCCGCTCTCGATGCAGTTGCAGGAGCACGCGGAGAAGAGCCAGCAGACGCGGAGGGAGCTGAGGATGGGCTGACCGTGCTCATTGTCGTCGCAACCGATGATAGGACAGTGGACGATGACGGGGCTTGTGCGGAATGCTGAAGACTTGGCTCCGCCACTCCAGCTGCCATCACAGAATGCATATTGACCATACCTGCACAGGACACAAACGTGAGAAAACACAACAGATCTCGAGCCACGACCAACACGCATGGAGCACACTCTCAAAAATTGACAGAGAGAAATCAGCAGCAGCTTCCAGCTACTGAGCACCACCATGACCCTGATTACAGGGCACGCAAAGGCGAAGCACATCAGAATGTTCCACCCACCAGGTATTGTCCCAGCGCTTGATGAGGCGTCTGTTACGGGAAGGCCTGAGGGCTGTGTTCCGAGCGCACCGGCGCCCAGGCTTGCAAACGTGTGTTCCAAATCACTCATGCCGTCAACACCAGCCGTTGACGAGAAGCCCTGGCCCATGAACGGCGTTGTCAGCGGCATAGTGCCAGCGACGTCCACAGGTGGAAGGCCCTCCGTGCCCGTCGCTTGCCCATCGAGACCGCTAGCAAACGGTGCTTGTGTGTAGGACGATACGTCTGTAGGGTTATACAAAGGCGGTATGGCTTGATCCTGCCAGGCGTAATTCGGCGTGGCCGATGTTTCACCAGCCGGAGGGATGTAATAGGAGGGGATATGGCTATACGAGGACATGTTCATCACAGGGTCATTGGTCATGTACTGTTGCTGATCCCCGGTCAAGCTGGTTAGAGCCGCTGGGTTCTGCAGAAAAGTATGATCCAACGATGGCACCTACAGAACACACACGCACGCGCACACACACACACACACACACACACACACACACACACACACCAAGCACACAGCAGCAGCAGCACCGAGAAAAAACAAACAGAGCCACCTGAGTCGCAGGCACATCGGTTTACATGTATATGCCAAGAAAGACTACTGCTAAATGCACATCCTTCATAAACTTAATTATTAGGCACACGTCCCGTAGGATCATTGACGAGCGCTTAGTGTGGACTATTTGCCCTTGCCCCCCCCCCCCCCGCCTTCTTTCAAAGACAACCATTACGGCAACTTAGATCTTGGTCCTATGGCGCACAAGTGTGGCACAATGCCTCCATTACGCCATGCAGTTACAACTGCGTACTGTACACAGTTGCATGCCTCAGCAGCAATCCCTAGAACTGTTTTTTCAGGGCATCAGTCTTGAGCGACCATTTGGCTCACTGACGCTATCATGCGTATCCAGAGATCAAAAGTGCATGAACATCGCAGCTACGGTAGTCGAAGCAGAATAACGGACAGTATATCTAGGCATCCTGAACTTTTAGCGCTAACACCATATCTGCATGAAAAGCATACTCTTGACCACAACGAGAGAGCTTGGACGCTCAGGGCCCTGCGCTATGCTTTGTTGCCTAGCTCATCATGCATGTTGTTAGAACTGATGGAAATGTTTTTCCTTTGATTAGCTACATCATTGTATTGCAAAAACGTTTCAATGAGTTACTGAAGTAACGTCTTCTGCAAAGCTATGGGACCGGCGCCGATCATGGGCGTTCTGGAGTCGACGGGATGTCTGTCCTGACGTTTCCTGGGACCGGCGCTGACTCTGCCGATCACGGGCGTTCTTCTTCTTCTTCTTCTTATTATTATTATACTGACGGCAACTAACATCCATTCTAATTGCATTTACTCGTCTCCCTACTTCGTATTTCTTTCCAGAAAATCTCCCCATACAGCAGGGAGTCGTTTACATAATAATCTACATGACTGTATATACGTTATAATTACTCAATCTGATACGTTATAATTATTATGCTATCAGCCTACATGCGATCCCACGGCTGGTCGACAGGCGGACCAGCCAGCCTGCTAGTGGGTTCTCGGCCTCGCACACAAATCCACACAAAATGTTACTGCACTGAATGCATTCCCCCGATACACTTCGCATATATACTCATTCTCTTGATGGTACCGTACTCTTGATGGTACGGGACAGGTAGGGGATAGCGCCAGGCATGTCGATGGCACAAACAAACAAACATATAGTAGCCAGCTGTCTTTGCTGGTACGGTACAGTACGGTACAGATACGGGATAGCGCCAGGCGTGACACAAACAAACAAACACCAAATTAAAGCTGTGTGGACCCTGGCTAGCGCCAGACGTTACTGAAGTAACGTCTTCTGCATAGCTACGGGAATAAAAAAATCCACTGTGGGCGAGTCCATGGCAGTTCTCAAGATAGGAGCTCCACAACGTTGGCTCTATAACATTACTCTAGGTTACAATGAACAGTATAGCAGCCAACCGGACTACCGTTGCCTGAAGCGCCCCTACCTGTGTATTGCCAGACGACCAGGAATCCAGGGAATAGGGCATGCTGCTGTTGTTGCTGTTGTAGTAGTAACTCATCATGTTTGGGTCCTGAGAAGCTGGCAACACGCCACCAGACAGCCCGCTCGGATTAGTCTAAGCACATTAGCATCGAAAAAGAAAACGAACACCACGCTAAGAAGCCAAGTACCAAAAAAACCCCACCCGTTCACCCAATAGACTGACCTACCCCATGCCTTAAAAGACGGTAATCAGAGCGCAACGTGGTGTCAACGTGGTGTCGTCATTAAAGAGGTTAGGCACTACGCAAAGTCGAACAACTTTACGCAAGGGGTCGTCGCAAAAGTCCTTTGCCGTCCCTGAGCGAACATCATAGGGGGTGTGAGCCAAAGTCAAAAGTTGACCGACACTGTACATATACATGCACTCAGCGTTTATTTCAGAGGAGGGGAGAGGGTCAGAGTACGAAATGAACGAAGTTCGTTTCAGGGACTACAAAAAACTTTCGTGACGACCCCTATTAAAGTGGGCGGGAAAACTGTGAATTTGTGAGTTTGTACTCCAAATACGGAAAGTTGTCTGCGTAGAGTACGTAGGCAGGGCTGTGATGACAAAGGTATTCCGTAAGTGGATTGGGGTATTCCCGGTCGTACACTGTCGTGTTCCGGGCAACGTGATTCGAAAAAAAGTCCGCATGGCAGAACAAGATACGCATGCAGTGTACCCAAGACTTTCTGTAAATTGACTGCGTTTTTACCAACGTAATTACTGTAAAACCGGAAAGTTTAATGATCAAAATGTTTAACGGTTTTGTAATTTTGGCACAACGTGCAGAAAGTTTAACGATGGCTCCCTGGCCACCCATCTGTATGCGATCTTTACACAGACATCTAGCGTTTACGTTTCTGCAAATAACGGGAAAAAATGGTCGTTAAAACTTTAGACTTTCCGCTTTTACAGCACGTTATGCGGAACCTCTCTAATGTATACTAGTAACATCGCATGTCATTGTGCAAAGTCCACTAACAGAACAGTACAAAAGCTGTGGGTGCAACTGCCCGTTTGCGAGTTTCTTTTCCATTTTTATAAAACTGCAATTGCCTGCTTCTGGGAGCAGTGTGACAAAGTGGGGCAGATGTAGGGTGTTACTGCTAGCATTGGTTGCGAAGTGTATGCGTGTGTGAAAGCACTTGGAGGTTACCCCAGGTGCGCATGATCGTAGCTTGCTATTCAGCAGCGGCGCCTAAAAGTGCCCTTGCAAGCGCAGCCATGCCCTCCTGTTGCAATTCACTAACGGGGGGGGGGGGGGGGGGGGGGGGGGCACCATTCCAAACACACACCATCTCCGTGCTAGGTGTATGTTGGTGGTATGGTCACTGAGTGAATGTAGCGCGGTAGTTTTGGGTTGCTAGACATGTTCTGCCTGCTGGGGCTCGTAATGAGAAAGTAGCAAACGGCCTGGCTATTGCCAGATATCCAGCTATACGAGGTGAGTGCGAATGAGCCACTGCGCACGACAGCCTGCATTCAGTTAATACGCAACAGTACCTACTGCACGATACACACACGCACGCGTGTGCACACACGGGGGTGCATTGCGACGTGTGTGGAGCCGTGAACAGTGAAAGTCGAGGCAACTGTCCAAACGCAACAAACCAGGCAAAGAGATGCGTGCGCACAAACGCCACGGCAAATCTGAATATTCCATCAGAACGCTCCGCTATTCTCCATTCGCTAGAGCTGCAGCTGCACTAACAAATCCATGTGTGTGTAGCTGCACTAACAAATCCATGTGTGTGTACACTTGCACAAACTCCATCCTCAAGCAACTGAGCCATGCATCTGAATCTTCACTTCTGGAGAGCTGCTCACACACACGCACAGCTATACGGATTCTGACATGCGAATAAGCAGCCACAACGTCCGGAAAACACTCCCAGGTACTGTATCCTGATACCGACTATTCGCTGCTGGCAGCAACCACACTAAGCTGCACTCATGGTAAAACAGGTTGGCACTGCGTTTCACCACAGTGACCTGCGCTCATTACCTGGTCAGTAAGACCCGGCCCATTCAGCATACTGCCATCCACGAGTCCTGTCTGGTAGTCCACAATAGAGGACGGTGGCAGGGTGGACTGTGCCTGGGCTGAAGAGATGGGAGCAGCTGAAAAAAAAAACAATTTACATTCATACAGACGTGTTATCGTAAAACATTTGGTAGCGCATCCACCAACTCGACTGAATACAAACCTTGCGCTGCTAGGTCCAGGGGAGACTAGGAGCCACACACGAAGCACACCAACAAGAGGAGGATGAGGGAAACAATGGAATGCAGAGAATGCAGAAATGTGTACAACATACAATAGTATTAGTAAGCACGCACGCGTACCAACCACAGAAAATACACCCGGATTAGTGGTGAAATTTCGTGGCGAAATAAAGCAGAACTCACCTCCTCAGCCATAGCTGGTGAGAATACTAGTTCCTTGGGACTCCAGCAAAAGAGGAAGGAGTCTCTCGCCCACAACAACGGGCAGAAGGGAAGTAAAAATAAAGATAAAACGAGGAAATGCAGTGTAGAGCTAGGTGCACCCCTGGCTTTCGAAGTGTGAAGCAAGCCGCACACTGCGCGCAGCCCGGCTGGACTGTCTGTGGTCCGTGTGGAGCTCGAACGGGTTGAGTGCACTTGAGTTTTGGAACGTTTTCTTTGCCAGATCGACCAGATCAGATGCAGACTTCTAATTCTGGCGCCATATTGAATTTTTGAGTGAACATTTTTTTGTGAAACTGGGATTCACGTACACGTGACTTTCAACATGATTGTCATGATCAGGGAGTCGTAAAATTACGACTCCCTGGTCATGATGCATGCACAACAACTGCAGTGACTGCACTGCATGCATCGCACAGACGCACACACAGCTAGCTACCGATCATGCAGCTCAGAGGATCTACGTCATAATCACTTTATCAGTACAGAGAGCTCATCCTGAGCTCAGTGCATGCAGTGAGTCAGCAGATCAGTAGATCTACGACAGTACGAGGGACGTGCGGACGCCGCTTGTATTTTCAGAATCAGTGATTGAGGTTTCTCATAAATAATTAGTCGGAAGGAGATCTCCTCTTCTTTTTGCAGGCGGTGGTGCTAACTAAGTTACTTTACTTGTACAGACTCCTGGATTTATGCGTCTAGGGTCTGGGATCACTGACCCTTCGTTCATCTCTTTGTAGCACGTAAGTATTCCACATTTGGACAATTTTAGTCTCCATGCGAAAATATTCTGATCAGGGAACATTCCTAACATTAGCTTGTGAACCCGAAGAATTGTGTGGCGTAGGTAGCTCAACTAGGAATCCCGATCGCATTTCAACGTGTAGCTGAATCAAGACATACGACTGTAGATTACAGAGAAATGTTTTGCACTCCTAAATGATGACAGATATTTCGTGGGGGACAAAGGCTGTCAGCCTCGATGGGTCTTTAACCCCAGAGGCGGTTCTGAACCGGGGATATCTTCGTTCCCAAAGAACGGTCGGCCGTATGGTCGCATAGACCGTGACCCTATGAACCGAAGTAATGCTTGCAGTGAAGACTGAGGGCATGATCGATTGGGCGAATCCCGAGCAAGTGCGCTCCGAGTGAGCGTGATCGTTTGGCGTGATCGTTTGGCCGAATCCGGAGTAGGTTAACTTGGAGTGGAATCCGACCACACCGGCCCCCACACCCGGAGTGGCTGGAGTGGAAATCGACTTGGCGTGTCATATGTCCAAGCTGCGTCAGTTTAGTCTGTGTCTCGGTGTGCGGCTTTTACATGTCTGTGCACGTTTCTGTTTCTGTGTAGATTGCGTTCATGATGTTCCAGCCGTGCGCGCGGTGGATCGTTGCACCGCTAGCCACCGGCAGCTGTTCTGCAGTGACGGCGCTGGGCACTGGAGTTCAGAGCAGCGCGCTGCAAAGGTCGCTGGCCCTCTCGCTCAGGGCCGTGTCGTCCCTGTCGGGCAGTGCACGCGCTGTACAGCTGCTAGCCGCCAGCCGAGACCCGTCGTCTCCAGCGGCACTGGGCGTCCGCTCGTTTGGTGTCAGCTCCGAGCAGCGTGTCTCGCAGGATCCCATTTCGTCGACCGATCCCACCTGGGTCGTAGCGCCGCGCAGTGGCCAGTGGCAGGACGATCTCTACCGGCTGAACAAGAAAAGCCCCTACCGCAAGTTCCTGGCCAGGCTCACGGGCCATGAGCTCCATGGTGCTGTAAGTATTCCTTCTGCTCTACCAGTGTCTGCCAGGGTCTACCAGTGTCTGCCAGGGTCTACCAGTGTCTGCCAGGGTCTACCAGTGTCTGCCAGGGTCTACCAGTGTCTGCCAGGGTCTACCAGTGTCTGCCAGGGTCTACCTGTGTCTACGTTGTACCATGAGTACAGACTGTCAGTGACCCCCGTCTAAGGCGACCGCTCAGCGACCTTACAAATGTGGTCCCCGTGTTCTTATCCGGGGCCATTTGACTGACAGTACCAACTATCCTTTCGTCTTACATGTTGTTGAAGTGGCGTTCTGGGACAGATGGTTGCCTTATCAGAGCAGTCGTCGTGAGAGGATTTGCTGTACATACACAATTCAGTATGACCTACCCCCAGCTGGACAGAAAATTCTATACTTTATAATATAGGCAACGTACTGTGTACTGCAAGTCTACAAATTTTCGGCCCATTCGAAGTTTAGTTCGGCCTCCCAGGGCTAAACCCATTTCGGCCGCATCAAATGTTCGGCCTATACTGCAGCCTCCTGTATACACTGTCACACTGAACCTTGCGAAACAAAAATTTCGGCCACAACGAATTTTCGGCCAAATATGACGAGGCCGAAAATAAATATGCGCCGAGTATTTGTCGACTTACAGTAGCCGACTTACTCTGACATACTCTAGAGCTGACGCACTCCGACATACTCTAGAGCTGACGCACTCTGACATACTCTAGAGCTGACACACTCCGACATACTCTAGAGCTGACGCACTCCGACATACTCTAGAGCTGACGCACTCCGACATACTCTAGAGCTGACGAACTCTGACATACTCTAGAGCTGACGCACTCCCACATACTCTAGAGCTGACGCACTCTGACATACTCTAGAGCTGACGCACTCCGACATACTCTAGAGCTGACGCACTCTGACATACTCTAGAGTCTAGAGCTGATGCACTCCGACATACTCTAGAGCTGACGCACTCCGACATATTCTAGAGCTGACGCACTCCGACATACTCTAGAGCTGACGCACTCTTTAGCTTAGTACTGGATGACTTCTACATTTTTGATGGTGCACATTTGTGTTTGTGTGCCGCTTATGTTCTTATTCCTCTGCTGGCCTGTGTTAGTTTTTCGGCCAGCCGTTTATGGACATCGTGACCATCTGCAATGACTATGACTATAAGGGGTTCCTACAAGGTGAGCAGCAAGCATACGTCGACCGCTTCATTCTTCATACGGTGAAACCAAAAGTATATAACCCCCCAAGAGTGTGCAACTCCTGATACCCTTTCTATGGGGTTCGCCGATGGCGAAAACTCACATCACGTGGTGTAGTGTCCCAGTTGTACATTTCCAGCCCGTTTTTAGAGCGCAGCAGAGTAATAACAAGAGCACCCCTGACAGAAACTCACTGCACGTATGCAACTCGCCAGCACGATCATGGCAGATTTTCGGATTGCGCGCACGCTATTCTTAGGCTGTGTTTACATGAGAAATTTCAACCCGGGTCGAGTTCAGCCCGGGTTGAAAGTCTGTACGATAGACAAAATAGGTGAGCGTTTACACGAAGACAGGTGACCCGGATCAAATACTTATATGCCGCCAAAAGTCTACGTCTAGAGTCCTGTATGGTCACGTGAATCCGTTCGCGCGAAATTTGCATGTGCAGTGCTGTTCAAACCTGGCGCGAGATACGCACAGAAGTACGTTTGTACGATTTTCTTGACCCGGGTTGGTTTCAACCCTCCCCTTGGGTGAAGGGTTGAAATCAACCCGGGGCGAAATTTCAACCCGGGTCAAGCGCAATGCGTCATGGAAACGCGCCATTCATTTTGTGCACATGGCGGGTTGAAATCTGACCCGGGTCGAACTCAACCCGGGTTGAAACGCCTCATGTAAACACAGCCTTTAATAGTTGTACGCAGTACAAAACTTACTTGAGACACGTGATGTGAGTTTTTGCCGTCGGAGACCCCATATTCAGAGTTGCACACTCTTGGGGGCTTATATACTCTTGGTGAAACCTGCCTAAGGTGACCGCTCAAGGGACCTTACAAATGTGGTCCCCGCGTGCAGGTGGTCTCTTTATCCAGGGCCATTTGACTGGAAATAGCACCCCTTGGTCCTGGTTGCAGGTGTCCTCTTTCACAGGTTTTACTGTACAGTAGAGTCGGGCACCGAAGAACGGCCAGGCTAGAATTTCACCAAGCACAGCACACCAATGTATACACGGTGACTCAACTGTGCATCGACTGTAATACAGTACATGAAAAATAAGAACGCTCTTGGCTAGGAGGCTGACCCCAGTTCTTTGGCAACCGACGGTACTTTACTCAATTAATATTGACTATTTTATGTTATACTCGTACCGGGAGGGGAGGGTGTATGTGCATGTTGCATTCTCGTGTCCTTACCATGCTTTCTTGAGGCTCGCAAGCTCCACTACAGCCACTCTATAGCATTGATAAACACAGCTTGCATCTTCCCTGAACAGGGTCGACGCATCTGTCAACAGTGTCCAGCCAAGTTAGTCTATCTCCTGCAGCTTCGAGAGCGCTCTCCACGGAGAGATGAGTCACTCTCTAACATTGATAAGCCCTACGCCATCACCAACACCTGTACAGCACTCCCGTTGCTGCAAAACTGTACAATTTCAATCAAACTCTCGGCCAGGAGCCACCATCAGGATTGAGGGAATCTGGTGAGGTAGACCTACATCATACACAACCATGTGGAATGATCTACGCCTTGCGCGATAAAAGTACACCATCGTTGAATGATACATCTGTCACGCACTCAGGTACTTGCACACATATACACACGCACACACACACACACACACACACACACACACACACACACACACACACACACATACACACACACACGCGCGCGCACACACACACACACAAATGTGTGACTAACGTGTCTGCAAACGATTTGAACTTTGGATGAAGATAACTGTGACCGTTGCTCACTGCCCTGTCCTTTCCTGTTGTCATGAGGTGCTTGTTCATACCACTGTTCTACTTTTGGTGCTATGTTGTAGACTAGTGTAATTACAGTTCAGTGGCAGAATCTCATCTATTTGATGTCACAAGCCTCTTTTCTGGGCAAAAACTTAACACAATGGATTAAAGTGCAATACAACACTGGAGAAGAAAACAGGAAAATGCATGTGTAAAATAGAGATTTTCAAACGCAAACCCAAAAAAAACCTCAAATCAAAACTTTACTTCATCTAAACAGTCGACGAGGAGACAATAGTCGTAAAATGGCAATAAATAAGATAAATTGTGCACTCATAACAACAGCAAAAATGAAGAAAGTCAAGTTCCATAACGTTTTCTTGTGACTGTCATCAGTGGAACGCCGTCACATAAAAATGTAATAACTAAAACACACACTTATATACATGTAGCTAATATGGTTCACAGTGTTGAAGGACGTCCTGCCAACCCACCATTTGAGCCATCTCATTTATCAATTTGAATGCCGACAATGTGGTAGTCGGTATGTTGGCAGGACGCTTCAACACTTGTCCGAACGCATCAAGCAGCACGTCCCATTATCATTGTTGTCCCAGGCTGCCAGGTTAAGCAGGCCGAAGCGTGGGAGACCACGAAAACATCCGCTGCCTATTTCTACACCTAGCACGGCTCACAATTCGGAAACAGAAGCACCGACTACTTCCCGACTACTTCCATGGAGAACGAGCAGACTAATCTGGTTTCCGGCTCGGAAACCGGACCACGGCAAGGGAGGCCGCCGGACGGTCGCTCCTCGACAAACCATGTTGCTACAACGGTAAGAGCGGAAGGGGAACAACTTGAAAACAGAGCAGAACCGAGGAGAAGCAAGAGACTAGCAGAGGCACGACTGAGACAAGTGGAGAACACAAGGCAAGGAGACGCAGGAGGAAGCACAGGCACGGCACAGAACGAATCAAGGAGAGGGAAGCGGTGTTGCGAGGAGATGGAGACTGATGACGACGAATACGAGTGCGATGGGATGGACGGCGGCATTGGAATGGAGGTGGAGGATGAGAGTAGTGATGAGGAGGAGTTTGATGTTGACAAGAGGAAGTCTGCAGTGTACAAGCATTTGGTGTCCAGTCCAGAATGTCGTAAGGTGTTTGACGATTCCTGGTTTAGTGTTATTCGTTGCGCACGTTTCTTCAAGCAATTGCAGGTGTTGGAAGCTGTGTATATTCGTACTCGTGACCCTGTGCTATGCAAACAGAAAGAAAACGTTGTATCACTCACACTCTTCAAGTAATACACACGCACCATTACATTCATTCACACAGTATCACATTCATCTGCCACTACCTTTCTCACATACACTATATTCACACATTGCAAAGGTGCAAACTTCGCTTTTTGTACTTGTTAGCTGCTGTATTTCTACCTGAAACCATATTAGCTACATGTATATAAGTGTGTGTTTTAGTTATTACATTTTTATGTGACGGCGTTCCACTGATGACAGTCACAAGAAAACGTTATGGAACTTGACTTTCTTCATTTTTGCTGTTGTTATGAGTGCACAATTTATCTTATTTATTGCCATTTTACTTCATCTATTTGTGATAGCTCCACCACTCCTCACACTTCGTTTCCAGGCACGTTTTTCACACCTCTTTGTGCGTGTGTGCGTGCGTTGGCGCGCCTGAGTGTGTGATAGATGTATCGTTCAATGACGGTGTACTAGTATCACGTATGGCATAGATCATTCCACTTGGTTTTGTATGATTATAGGATCCACCTCACCGGTTTTCCCATCAATCCTGATGATGGCTCGCGGCTGAAAATGTGAAGTTCTGCAGGTTTTCACTGTTCAGCGAAGAGATCACTTGCGTTTGTGATTGTGCAGGGCTTGTCAATCCTACCTTGATTTTCGATTTTTTTCGTATCTGCAGTGTCTGTGTCATCTCGAGTAGTGTTTTCCCGTGAAGGGCAATTTAACTCTTCTTTACTTATTTAGTCTACCTTCGTTGTTGTTGCTGTTGCTGTTGTTGTTGTTGTTGTTGTTGTTGGTTGCAGTTACTAAGTCGAAGGATTGGTTCCAGGCTTGGTTTATCGGATTTCATATGCATATGTGGTAGGTGAAACGCTGTGCTATTCTGGGCCACCCCCCCCCCCCTCTCTCTCTCTCTCTCATTCTCTGTGATCATTTATACCTTTCCCACTTCAGTTGGCCTGTGCATTTGCTGCGTAGTGTATGCATCAATTTTATTCCAAACGTCTTTAGTAACAAGACAATCATGGCGAGGGACTTTCTATTGTAAGGCCATCATTTTTTTATAGCTATGTTTCGCGTCGTCCGCACGCATACGTTTTGACTTTTTTCGGAAAAAAATAAAAAATTCGAACATGCACAGTGAGTGTACGATCGTGCGAGTAATCAGTGTGGACTGGTTGCGATACGGCGAAGCTGGGATTCCGAAATGGCCTCTAGGGCAGCGTTGGTAAATCGTTTGTTCGGCATCTGGGAGCAATATTCTATGAGCTTACACCAGACCGCATTGATCACCTCAAGCTGAGAGGATGCGTCGTTCCGGAGCTCTTTGCACCGCTGCTGAAGTCTCACTACAATAATCCAGCGAAGCATGGGCACCAACGGTTGCCTCCTCTGTCCAAAGTGAATATTTACTCATGCTGGTAACCCAGATGTTGTGCTTCGATGTACGATTTTTCTCTCGAATGTACACCATGCACGAACTATTGTGCTATGTACAGTGCATACACCTCTGATGAGCCTTTTTTATTATTTTGCAACTTTTTATTTTTTCCACCTCTCGCATATGATTCTGGAAGTTGAACTGACGCGAAACATAGATATAAAAAATGATGGCCTAATAGCGATCAAAGCGTATGTGCCAATTGCCCGGCTGCAGTACAGGGGAACCCTGAAAGACCTACCTCACTGAGTGAACCAGGAGTAATGTACAGACAACTTCGCTAATAACGACTGCGGATATAACGACAATTCGCGATTAGTGACAGAATTTCCATGCGCAGAGCAAAGTCCCATCTAACTCAATACCAAGAGTCCACAACCCCAAGAGTGTGCAACTGGGGTCTGGCTGCTGTAGGCCCACTGCTCGGCGGAATTCCAGCATTACGTCATGCCGCTGAGGCACAGAGGACAAAACTGCACATTCCGCGGTGCTTGGAACCAGGGAGTAGTACAAACGCAAGGAACGTGTACGTCATTTTTGACGTAATGTTGGAATTCCGCCGCGCGGACCCCATGTACAGAGTTGCACACTCTTGGGGTTGTGGACTCTTGGTAATACATATAATGAGACTTCGGGAATAAGGACACTTCGCGAATAAGGACACTTTTCTGATGCCCCGCCGAGTGTCGTTATACGCAAAGTTGACTACATAGTTCTTTTCTGATTGTTCGCACACTCCAACACAGCCACTTACCGTTTCTTCTTATCCAAACTTTGCTTTCGCAGCATGACAGAGACATCTCGAAAATATCCTCTGCGTGTTTGTGTGCGTGTGTGTGTGTCTGTGTGTGTGTATATGCATCCTTTCAACTCTTGCCCTCTCCCATTGTGCTCTCTCTCTCTCTCTCTCTCTGCCAGGATGTTTGCAAGGCGGATTCATCAGGAAGGAGCCGTGGGTCCCTCAATAGCTTATATCCACTTCTGGCACACCTTCTGGCAGCATCTCGACATCCGCTTGGAAACATTCAAGGTAGAATACCACTTGAACCAGGGGTGTAGCTGATCCCCCTTTTTGGAGGGGGGGGGGGGTTGGGTGCACGGCTGCATGTGTGTAGGATGGCTGGTGCACGGCTGCATATGTGTAGGATGGCTGGTGCACGCCATTCATAGACGTCATGTGCATGCTGAACCTAGGTCGAAATTTTTAGGGGAGTGCACGGTGCCCTCCGTGCTCCATGCGGCCTACGCACCTGTTGAACTGTCTGGAGAATCCTCTCGATTGCTGGTGTGTCAGCACCGTTACAGCTGCACTAACCCCTGCGTAGTTACAGGATAGTAGTGTTGGTCACCGGAGCACCCCGAAGACTATAGCTGGTGAAAATGAGATTTTAGGCTTTGCTTCCCCTTTAACCAGTTCACTGTGTACAAGTACTAAGTTTGAGAATGAATGGACTGAAGCATGAACTGAAGCATAGCCGGACAGAATCACCTGCTCCTAATCCAGTGTGGCCATATGGTCAAATGCTGGCATCCACCCATGCAGCAGGGTATGCCCAGCACTACCGTGTGGACGTTTTGCTGAATGCTGCCCCCCCCCCCCCACGCATCCGGGCGCTGGCCTGAAATCAGTAGATTAGTCTGTGGCATATGCTTTCGGCATTTGGGACAGCACAAGTCTTCGGCATTGGAAAAGGTTTGGCAATAATACTAGTTCTCTTGAGAGCGTGAGAAATCATTGTTGTGTTGTGTGTGTGATGCGGTTCTGTTCTACTTGCAGAAAGAGAATAAACTGCCGGGGAAGAATATCACCGCTGCTACAGAAGCGTTCAACAAACACCACCAACGGAACTCATTGATGTATGAGCGTGTAAGTACTGGCCTGCTGCCTCCACCAGTCATGTAGTGCTGCTGATACCACTGCTGCTGTTGTTGCTGCTGCTACCGTTGCTGCTGCTGATGCTGCCATTGCACACTCTGGTTTATGTGTGTGTGTGTGTGTGTGTTTGTGTGTGTGTGTTTGTGTGTGTGTGTGTGTGTGTGTGTGTGTGTGTGTGTGTGTGTGTGTGTGTTTGTCCCATATGGTGCAGTGGTATGTGCAGTCGATTTCCAATCGAGAGGTTGCGGGTTCAATTCCCGACGATTGTGGTCGCACACGTCTTTCTTCTCTTTCTCATTCTCCTAGCTCTTCTTTCATTCTCCTGGGTGGTTACCAACAGCCAGTGTATGCCGGAGTATGTGGTGTGGTGGCACCGTGTGTGTGTGTCGAAAAAGAAAAAAAGAATGGAAAAATGGAAAATAGGGATTCACTGGCCAGAAAAAGTCACTTCAATCAGCTGTGTGGTGGATACCAGGCTAAAATTAGTGGCGGTCAATTCATCAGCCTTGCAAGCTGTTGAATGGTGTAATCCCAGCACAAGTTGCTATCTCTTAATTTGCTGGCCGAAAATCCTATATATAGGATTTGAAAATGTGTGCCTTTTATGCCGTTGTTATTGGTCATCACGACCAAAAATAACGGCATAATGGTTTTCATGGAAGTTGTAAATATGTTTGAGGCATGAATGTTTACATTTAAGATTCATAGGGCGATAATATTTCTGATGAATACCTATTTTCCGCAATAATAGGAAATTTGAGCATAATTGTTCAGCTGCTGTCATGGAAAGGACTGAAGCAGTGAATGTGCAGAAGAACATAACAGGTGTGGCACGGTGTGGTTTCATGACGACATATCGCACATGCCGTCATGAAACTACCAGTTTTAAGGATAAAACAACGTCCAATAAAATCTCAAATCCTATATATAGGATTCGAAAAATAGGGCACAGGCCTTAGTAATACTGGGCAAGGAGATGAGCCTGAGCTGTTAGTGTTTGAAAAAATTATCTTAGTCAACTCTCGATATCTACTAAGACCTAGCAAGGAAGAATTGGTCACATACTTTGTGCTATTCTCATGCCACACCCATTTTGAGTTGAAAAATATGACCAAAATCCTATATATAGGATTTAGCAAATTAAGAGATAGTTGCTATGTGTAACATAGCTGTTCGCTATCATCGCTTCCGCGATGGACATGTCTGAGTGTGTGTGTGTGTGTGTGTGTGTGTGTGTGTGTGTGTGTGTGTGTGGTGTAGACCAGGCTGAATAGTGGCGGTCAATTCTTCAGCCTTGCAAGCTGTTGAATGGTGCAATCCCAGCACAAGCTGCTATGGCTTCTGCTGTAGCATCGCTATCATCGCCTTTGGCGATGGGCGTCCAATGGTCCAATGGTGTGTGTGTGCCATGCTGTGGTCCGTGTGTGTGTGTGTGTGCTAGCCGGCCTGGACGGCTTGGGGTAGCCTAAGGTTACGTTTGGTTGGTCACATTCCCAAATGGGAATCACTTGGAATCACTCGGAATCATTCTCGCCCGTTTGGTTGGTCAAAAGAGTGCGTTAGGTTGGTCACATTCCACATGATTCCAGAATGGGAATCGTTGAGAATGATTCTTTTTGGAGAATGATCATTCCACCTCACATGCTGGAATGAGCATTCTCATTCCGGAATCAAAAATGATAATGGCTGCCACGAGCCAAACAATGTAGCAACAGGTTCAAGTGCCTCAAATCATGCACTCAGAAGTACCATGACTCTCTCAAGGAAACTAAAGTCGGGTAAAAGAAAAGACAGCCGCCGTTCCACAACGACATCATGGAATTGCTACGTCAAGTGATTCCTTATTGATTCTGGCGCGTTAGTTTGGTCAGGTGATTCTTGCCGATTCCCATTCCAGAATGGTTGTCATGTACATTCTGAAAATGCCCAACCAAACGCAACCTAAGGGTACCCCAGCCGTCCAGGTGGGTGTACTGGGCTAGAGGACTCAAACAGGAAACTTGGTCGGATACTTTCTGATGCCGACACTCTCCTCGCCGTTCCTCTAAAATTTCTAGGATGCCCCGCGAGTTGTTGCGAACCCGCGGGTGGTGACAACTACCGCACAAGGACGATGGCAGGGGGAACAGGTTTTGACTCTTTTGAGTATGGTACGTGGAACGTCCACAGCCTGGTTGAAAGTGACAGACCTAGCAGAACTCTTGTTGGCCGCTGGCCTGCGGAGTGTGCTGCGTACCGTACTCAGCAAACCTACGCCATGTCTGTCGGCCCCTCGTATGAGGTGGCATGTGCCCGTTTTGCGGCAATGTTCAGGATAGGTGTGTGTTTGTGTGTGGGTGTGTGGGTGTGTTCCCTGCAGGCTATCCATAGTCCGGATGTATATCTTGCCAGTGTGCTTGCACTGTAAGTAGTCCATTAGCTCAGAAATGTCTACATCCGATTTCAGTCAGCACGATTTCTCGTATAAGAATGTTTGCTGCTTTGAACCCTGAGTTGCGCACATATACCCTAATTCAAAGTGCCAGAAGATCCATGTACATGTATAGGAGGGGTCTTGCTGATACTTCGGTTAGCAAAGACAATAATTCAAAGTTCACCAAGCACTGCACTGGTCAGTTCAGTGTGCACGCGCCTCTATGCATCTATGCATCTATGCTACATTTCACAATTCGCGCCTCTATGCATCTATGCTACATTTCACAATTCTTTGTGGCAGCGCGAGCATTTTTGACGTACATATTGTGTTGTAGTACGCCTGTATCGACTGTTGTAGTATGCCTGTATCGACTGTTATAGTACGCCTGTATCGACTGTTGTAGTATGCCTGTATCGACTGTTATAGTACGCCTGTATCGACTGTTGTAGTACGCCTGTATCGACTGTTGTAGTACGCCAGTATCGACTGTTATAGTACGCCTGTATCGACTGTTGTAGTACGCCTGTATCGACTGTTGTAGTACGCCTGTATCGACTGTTGTAGTACGCCTGTATCGACTGTTGTAGTACGCCTGTATCGACTGTTGTAGTACGCCTGTATCGACTGTTGTAGTACGCCTGTATCGACTGTTGTAGTACGCCTGTATCGACTGTTGTAGTACGCCTGTATCGACTGTTGTAGTACGCCTGTATCGACTGTTGTAGTACTCCTGTATCGACTGTTGTAGTACGCCTGTATCGACTGTTGTAGTACGCCTGTATCGACTGTTGTAGTACGCCTGTATCGACTGTTGTAGTACGCCTGTATCGACTGTTGTAGTACGCCTGTATCGACTGTTGTAGTACGCTTGTATCGACTGTTGTAGTACGCCTGTATCGACTGTTGTAGTACGCCTGTATCGACTGTTGTAGTACGCCTGTATCGACTGTTGTAGTACGCCTGTATCGACTGTTGTAGTACGCCTGTATCGACTGTTGTAGTACGCCTGTATCGACTGTTGTAGTACGCCTGTATCGACTGTTGTAGTACGCCTGTATCGACTGTTGTAGTACGCCTGTATCGACTGTTGTAGTACGCCTGTATCGACTGTTGTAGTACGCCTGTATCGACTGTTGTAGTACGCCTGTATCGACTGGTGTAGTACGCCTGTATCGACTGGGTGTCCGGATGTACTCTTGTTGATCAATGATGGTCCAGTTATCCCAGGGTTGTGGCACATCGTGTTGTTGTGGCCCATCAACACATGCTGTCGGTCTCTATCTCTCTCCTTTCTGTCTCCCTATATCTCTCCCTCTCTGTCTGTCTGTCTCTCTCTCTCTCTCTCTCTCTCTCTCTCTCTCTCTCTCTCTCTCTCTCTCTCTCTCTCTCTCTCTCTCTCTCTCTCTCTCTCTCTCTCTCTCTCTCTCTCTCTCTCTCTCTCTCTCTCTCTCTCTCTGCGCTACCACACTTGATATCTTGTTTTGGCTGCTTGTAGTACATTGTTTGACGATGTGGAGAATGTGAACCCAGACTCTCTTCTCTTGGTGTGCCACTACTTCAGAGAACAGGTAGGAAAGTAATGATACACATGATCTGCTACGTTCATGCCTCTTCTCATGATGTCACTTCTGATGATGTCACGTCTGATGATGTCACGTCTGATGATATCACTTTGTGTGGTTACTGTGGTATCACTTCTGATGATGTCACACTGCGTGGTATCACTTCTGATCTCGCTTTGTATGGTGTCACTTCTGATGAAGTCCCTATTGACTCTAGTCTCAATGGGCTGAATGAATTGCCTCCCCATGTGTTCAGTGCTCTGTGTGCGTCTGCCAATCTTCGTTTCCTCTGCCGCTTTTCTTGTTCCGTTGCTCGTTGTTGTACGTAGGTGGCTGCTGTCGACAGTCTATCCGTGTCGGAGCTCTTCCTTATGCCCTCCCACATCTTCCCGCCTCTCATTGACCATCCTGACGTGGAGCCGGCAGAGAAGAAGAGGGAGAGGCTACTCCTGCTTAACAAGAAGGTCGATCAATACGACTGGATTGATTTCAAGAATCAATAGTGCGTGCACGTGCACGCGTGTTTTGGAACAAGCATCACGCGCATCATCGCCTGTGCTTTAGCGCGTGGAGCTGTTCTCTCAGCCAAGTGCCCTGCATAGCCGCCATGGAGTAGTAAAATACTGGTATTTTACTACTCACTGATAGCTGCCAGGTAGAATGAGCTGTGCTCTGTTCATTGCTCTGGCTTCTGGCTCATCTACCAGGTTAGTTTAGCGACTGCGTACGACTAAGTTGCATCTGCTCCTGGCGCTACCCAGTATGTGTCATCTGTGTGTGCCGTTACCAAGGTGGCCAGCAGAGCATGTGTGCCGTTACCAAGGTGACCAGCAGAGCATGTGTGCCGTTACCAAGGTGACCAGCAGAACATGTGTGCCGTTATCAAGGTGACCAGCAGAGCATGTGTGCCGTTACCAAGGTGACCAGCAGAGCATGTGTGCCGTTATCAAGGTGACCAGCGAAATGTGTGTGCTATTACCAAAGTAGCCAGCAATTTCTCAGACTCAGATTTCATGCCAGCCAGCCAGCCATACTTGCTCTCAGCTCTCAGGCAGCACACACACATACATACACACACGCGCACGCGCACACACACACACACACGCACACACACGCACACACACACACACACTCTCTCTCTCTCTCTCTCTCTCTCTCTCTCTCTCTCTCTCCCATGCTCGTGCCGACCTCATACTTCTGGAATACGGCTTTTTGGCTTCGGTCATGCTTCTTATTTAAAAAAAATAATAGAAACGAGGATGGATTTCAACAGACTGTACATCTACTGCCGAGTCCATCAAATCCTCTACTGTGGATGTTCAGTTCTCAGTTCAGACTTGTCATGCTCAGTGCTCTGGATTTATGGTCATCACTCAACAAATTTGTCGCATGTTGGTTACAAATACAGTCATGTACATGTACATGTGGTGTTTTCAGCAACAGCAGATCCGGTGGTAGGAAGATTTAAAAAAAGTAAATAATTCGTTCATCTGAATGATCTCTTGCAATGTAGCAAGAGTACATAACCATAGCTCCAGAGTATGTAAGGCCTGATTCATGCTTCATTTCGCGTCACAGGAATCGCAATGCATACGGCGACGGTTGCATGATGGGCCAACCTGTAACTTGTAACAAGTTGGGCTAAGGCGAGACCAAAATAAAATCGAGATTCCCGGGCAGGACCCATGTGAAATTGGTGTGGGCGGGCGAATTTTATTTTTTATTTTTTTCCCGTGTATGTATGTGTGCATGCCATGAGCTTTTTTTTTACAGCATTTTCCGGTAATTTTTATTCAATTTTTTTACAGACAACAGGTACGTACGCGGTTTACCCGTTCAATTTTTCTATATTTCGGCCAACAATGACCCTGATCTGTACATCTGGGAGTCGTACAAGCTCGGGTTTGTGTGACTCCACGTCACAGATCTACTCACACGATCGATCAGTACTGTACATGTATGAACTGTTCAAAAAAAAAAATGGCTTTGGCTCGATTTTGGTGCGGGAGGGCCCGGGAATCTCTTTTTTTGGTCTCGCCTAAAGTTAACCTTTTTTTGCCAGGCACAAACGAATTACTCATGGCTAGTAAAAGGTTTTTGCTCTTGCGCAATCTGGGATCAGTTACTGCCTTGTGAAGAAGAGGTTGGTGCGACTTCGGCCATACTTTACTGCCTTGTTATATTAAATTGTTTTGTAGTTCACGCAGCCATGGGAAACAAAACAAGCAATGACAAATATTCCGTCTGTTTATCAGGAATTGATGGTGTAAATCAGGATGTAGTAAATAGTAAATACCGATTTTGGGTTGTCTTTTTGCTTTGGTTCTTACTTCATGGTTTCACGCCATTGGTGTCGTCAAGAGTACATATGGTTTATGTACTCTTGGTGTCGTGAATAAACCTGTTTTCGAGTAAGGTACCAAAAAAATTAGTATTCCCGTATTCGTACTACTCCCTGATGTACTGAGTACATGGAAATGCTGTGCACATGTGGGAATCAGGGAGTCGTAAAATACCGGTATTTTACGACTCCCTGGTGGGAATGTAGTGTTATAATAATAATATCTTTATTAGGATGACCCAGAGGCTTGTCGCCTATCAAGGGGTTCACCGCTTTGAAGGTGTTGACATCCATGTTGCACAATCATGATTGTGCAACATTGTTTTTGAGTTTTGCCAGTACAAGAGGCTTTTGTCAATGTTAAAAAAAATGCTCATCAGGGACTCCCTTGTGCTCATGCATACCCTGGTGTTGTTTGCGGGTCTTGTACTACTCCCTAGCTGGCCATGGGCATGGCTTATGATAATGTAGAATCATGTACGCTTGCATGCATGCATTGAATTCCCATGTAGACCTACAATCTGTAGCTTCAACGCTACATGCACAGTCGACAGCGTAACCTGGCCAACTAGTGAGCGAGCCAACGCTAACTGGTGAACATTGTGATTGATTACTTCGAAGTGAAATGGAAAATTTACCTTACACACACACACACCATCTTCAATCCAAGCAGTCTCTTTAATACTTTGAAGTGTTAAAATTACCGCAAATTACATGTGAAACAAGAACAAGAGAGAGAGAGAGAGAGAGAGAGAGAGAGAGAGAGAGAGAGAGAGAGAGAGAGAGAGAGAGAGAGCACAGAAGAAGAAGAAAAAGACAAAAACACATTGTAGACTGTTTCGTATTGCACTACAGTGTAGAATGCAATCATTGACCTTGCCAGAATTACTACCAGCACTAGAGACACGCGCCGGCTACATTTAATTTTAATACACAAGGGCTGCTAGGGGAGTGTGTACGTGGGTGTGTGCTTGGGGCAGGGGATCACATACATACTGCACAGCTAGCAGGCACATAACAGCCAAGTAAAACTTAGAAGAAAAGAAAAGAATCTCCGAGCATGCAAACGAAAAGAATAAGGAGAGCGTTTTAGAGCAGGGCATGCAAACAACCCGTGCTATGGGCAAGGGCAGTTGTCAAATCCTGCTGTTTGTCTATGCGTGTAATAAATACTGTATTGATAGAGGAGATAGGGACTGTCGTAAAGCCTAGAAAAATCCAAGGACATTGTCATGACTGCTTAGTG